GGCCACCCAGCAGCCCTGTCACTACCTCGCGCAATCCTCACCTGCCGCTGCCTTCTGCACCTTTAGCAAGACCTCATCATCGGCGTTTCTCTCTTCCCTCCTACTCCCTTTCTCCACGATTCAACTGTAAGACCCAGAAGCACAAGAGTTGGGTCTCAGCCTTCTTTCCCCTTGCTACTAGGGCTCAAGGAATGCAGGGCAGGTGTTAGATCCTCCAGCCCTTCCAGGAGCTGTTAGCAGCTGAATTCATGTGGATTTCATTAGAGGGTTGTTGCCCAATGAAGTGCAGAAGACTGGACGGGAAGGGGCACTGGCAAAGGTCAATGTGGATTACCAGGGTCAAGAACAGCCATCCCCAGAGGAAGGAGAGAGAAGTCACCCAGCTCTTAAACAGGCTTCCAGATGTTTTCAGTCACTGGTTCTCCGTGCAGACAGGGCAGAAGTACTAGCGAACAGGATCTTGGAGCACTGCCAGAGGCCTGAATGGTTTTGTTCCTCACCCCTCTGAGCAGCACTCTCTGAAGGAGGCCTGCTGCAGGAAGTTTTTGGAGCTTAATGTTCTCTTTTCAGGCCAGCAGGGACCACATCCCACTGATTTAATAAATGCCTGCTGGGCAGTGGTGCCAAACCACAGACTAGCTGCCTCCTAACAAGGGCTGGCCTTCCCTGTGCACTCAGCATGGGAGGCTGTGGGATCTCAAGATGCTAAGACCTCCTACAACAGAGCTGGAAGGGCCTAGAAAATGACCTGATTTTGCTGCTTATTTTTTTACCTGGGGAAATTGAGGCTTAAGAAGATAGATGGTCCTGGTGGCTGCCTGTTTGTGGGGTCCTTTGAGGATGAGGTGCCAGAGGGACTACTCTGCTTTAAAATATCTTGTATCGCTTTGGAGTCACTCCTCTGGGCCTCACAGTGTTTTCCATGAAAACACAGGTACTCTGGAGAAGCAGGGAGGAGGCGGGGGGTGGAGTTCATAAATTGCATTCAGCTGCTCACTCTGCAGGAAGAATTCACAGAAGGGTGGGACTGGGCCAGGTTACCAGAGGTGGATGAGGGCGGGAGAGAGAGGAACTGAGATTGGAATGTAGCAGGTGAGCAGGCTTCATCGTCATCACCACTTTGCTTCTGGCCACCAGGGGCTTATTCAAGAGCAGTGGGACCAAGACCACAATTTTCCCTTCATTCTGAGGCCCTCAAGCTCCAGAGCCTCTCCTCCTGATGTAACCACCTATCCTATAAGCGCCATCCTGTTTCCCCACCTACACCCAAAGAGGCTTTTCTTGGGGTTGCACCTGTTTTCCCCACTACTACCTGCACCACCTCAGAGTGAAGAAGCATCTCACAAACTAATCCTCACCAGGATGGTCGCTAAGTTGCCCTCTCCTAGGTGCATCTGATAGAGGCTCTGGAAAACCAAAATGCTCTCTTGACTCCCAAAAGCAATATCTTACACCCCACAGTAAACACTTGTTTGCGAACTGAAGACCCAAAAGAATGAAGTTATAAGGGTAGAATTTAAATTGAAAGCCTTATGGGCAGTATGGGACCCCAAGTGGAGCCCCCACATTTGGGGAGCAGAGGCTGACTTCTCCATCAGTCCAGCTCCTGCCCCAGCCTGTCTGCCCCTCTTCCAGAGGGGGGCAGTGCCAGCCTCGCTGCTGCCCCCTTAAGGTTGTGCTGCAGGTGCCCAGTAAGACTGGCTCTCTGCCTTCCTCCTAACCCTCCCCATTCACGTCCATTCCCCTTCTACTCTGCCTTCTGCTCAGGATTGTGTCATAGGAAGTTCTCAACAGGACCCCCTGAAGAGGGGAAGGTGGGGCTAGGGAGGGAAAAAACAACACTAGGATACTGACTACAGAGGCACAGCCTCTTCCTGTTCTTCAGACCTGGAACCCCCAGGGACAAAACCTCTTCCTCTTCAGTCTCTCCCCTCCTACCCTAACCCCACCCCCAGCCAGACTCAGGGCTTGCTACGGAAGACCAACATTTCTCCCCTCCCCTAATGGGTGAGGGGGTCAAAAGGTACAAACTTCCAGTTATAAAATGAATAAGTCCTGGGGATGTAATGTACAGCATGATGACTGTAGTTAAAAATACTATATTGCATATTTGAAAGTAGATAGGAGAGTGGATCTCAAATGTTCTAATCACAAGAAAAAAAAATTTTTTTCTGTAATTGTGTATGGTGATGGCTGTTAACTGGACTTATTGTGGTGATCATTTAGCAATATATACAAATATCAAATCATTACATTGTATACCTGAAACTAATATAATGTTATGTCACTGACACCTCAATTAAAAAAAAGAGAGAGAAGAAAGAACATCAGTCTTTTCCTGTATAGCCCATTAAAATGGTAAAGTACATTGGGAAAAAAATAATGTCTCCCTCCACCACACTGCTGGAAAGATCCCTGGGTGTGATGAAGCAAATGGCTAGCCTTAAGATAAAAACTAGGTTGTTCCTTGGGACCTGGGGTGTGTACCAGAAAGGGGAGGGTGTCAGCAGGAGTCCCACTGAGTCTGACAATGGCAGGAAAGGAAATCACCCAGTTGCCACTGTAGTTTTCTTCAAGGCTGTGTCTGGGCAGGCCCCCCTTGCAGGGATGGGCTGTGCAGCTGTTCCAAGAACTGAAGGTAGCAGTTCTTCAAAATATACTTATAAGTATGTGAGCATGAGCAAAACAGAAACAGAGCTGCAAAAATGATTCAGATCTTAGAGGTCTTGAACACCAGAGCGTAGAATTTCTCCCTAAATGACATGATTGAATTTCAGAAAGATTTTCTTGGCTGCCATGTGGATTGAATTGAAAGGTTTGAGACTGGAGTAGGAGTCCACTGCAATGGTTGAGGCTAGAATTGATAAGACCTGATATGGGATAGTGGCCAGGGGTTGGAGAGGTAAACACTGTCATTGGACTTGAGGAGAGAAGGGAACAGAAAGCTCAGTGAGGGGAACTGGCAGAAGAAGACTTGCTCTGGAGCCAGCCAGGGTGAGGGATACTTCACTCAAATCTGGGGGAACAAGAGCAAAGATCCTCTTAAAAAACATATCTGGATCTTAGAGAGAGGGCTTGGCCAGGGTTCAGCAGATTCATATAGCACTGGAAGGGAAACTGAGGCAGACTCTTAGGGTGCACATGGTTACAGAATGGGGGTGGTAGGCCTCGGTCTCAGATTTCCCACAGTGGTCACTCAGTCCCTCCTTATCACCTCTGGAGAAGGGAGCATCCCATTATTGCATGCCAGTCTCTGCACCTCCACCTCCCAGCCCAGGGGTACAGAAAAGACCAATGGGGAATTCTGGCCATGACAAGGCTGCTGGAAGTGCCATGGAGGAGGGGCAGCCCTTCCTCTCCACCCAGATGTGCAAAGAGACAGAGATAAATCTGGAATGTACAAGACATGCTGGCAGGGATTGGAGGGGGTGGACAAGGCTCGGAGAGGGCAGAGTTTTGGGCATTCTAGCAAATATAGGGGTAGAGAAGAGACAGCTTCTAGCCCAGTTCCTACTCCCCACCATCTCCAAAACCAGTTCTTTCTCATGGTTCCTACCATTCCAGCCAGCTCCCCACCAACTTCTTGAACCTCTCTTTTTTGTTGTCATGGGGGAAGGGGAAACACTCCCTGGCCTAGAATCAGGCCCATTGGGTGGCAGCTTCAGAGACACACATTTTAGCTGGCTCCCCAACCTTAGATGTATACAGGCCAGGGCTGGGCCACACTGTTGGAAGATGGGTGAATGCTGGGTGGGAGATTCTGGGCATCTAGATGCAGAACACCAGGTTCCAGTCCAGTTTTGGTTACTAACCTGCTGTGTGACTCAGGACAGTGTCTTCCTATCTCAGTGTTTTCTGTTGATTCACCTGCACTTTTGTGATTAACTAAATCGATAGCAGAGGCCAGACTAGAAACCAGATCACAAGCCAAGGGCCAGCTGGCTGGGATTTGGCCAAACAAGGGCACTCTTCCCTTTGGTCCTGCCCCAGCACACAGTGAGTGCTCAGTGGGCACGATGCGTCCCCTCCCCGATCTAGGCTGCCTGCCCTCAGTGCCCTTCTAAAGGGTACTGCTCCTCCATGCCAGGTGAGTTGGGCCTTACAGATTACTTTATCCGCCCGCCATGTCATCTCTGACAGCACACACTGCTTGGTGCTGGGCTGTAGAACTTAATTCAACTATGGAAATGTTCTATAATCTGCACAGTCCAACATGTTAACCACTAGTCACGCATGGTTTTTGAACACTTGAAATGTGGCTAATGTGCCTGAAAAACTGGATTTATAATTATGACTCATTTTAATTAATTTAAAAAATAAATTTAAGAAGTGACATGTGGCTAGAGGCTACTATACTGGACAGCACAGGTTTTAGGCAGAATTTTTCTTTGTTCCTTGTTTAGAATATAGAGTTGATAGCAATTACCATTTACTGAGCACTTAACTCTTTGCCAATTTTTACATAAGTACTTTACAAATCCATCTCAATGAATACGAGAAATTCCATTTTAAAGATGAAGAAACCAAGGCCTGAGAGGTTAGTTAGGTAAGCTGGCTTCAGATTGTATAGAAAGTGGACAGCCATTTAAGTGTGAGTCATGTTCCCCAGCTATTTAAGGAAACTTCCAGGACCCAGTCTGGGTGTCCTCCTCCTCCAGTCACTCCACAGCCCATGGCTGTGCACCAGCACCCAAGGAGGCTCACCACTGAATACAGATTAGTAAATGCTCTCAACAAAAAGGAGAGGAAAGCTACTGCCATTTACTTCCCATTTCCTGGGGACTCCTGGCTCCTGACATTCCACCTTCAGATGTCTCTTCTCTTACCTTTCTCCTGGACCACAGTGTCCCTTGGCTCACAAACTCAGAACTCAACTGGGTGCTACGTGCAGTTATTTGGGAAGAGGGTGTCACATGCAGGCCCAGAGGAAGCCAGCTGGGTTGGGAGCGGGGGCCTGGAAAAATCCACATAGTTTTTAAGCAAGAAAACAAACAAAAAAATACTATTATAATAACTAACTTTTATTGAGCACCTACTTGTGCCAGGCACTTTACATACATCTATGCTTATAATTCCCACAACAACCTGGGAGGTAGGCATTATTATCACCATTTTACATATGAGGAAACTGAGGCTCAACAAGGTTAAGCAGCTTACTCAAGGCCACACAGCTTGAGATGAGTGGTAGAGTTATCTTGGTGAGTGCCCTTAAACTTTCATTAGCATTCTTCACACTGAGAAGATAGAGGAGGTGGAGGAGCGGGCAAAGAGATGCATTCTCTAGGGGGTAAGGGACTGATTCTGCTGTCCAAGCTAATGAGGGAAGCTGAACCTTGCCCTGTTTCCCACCTTCCCCCTCTGGCAAACCACTCCTTCCCCAGACTGAGCTGCAAAGTCAGAAAGAACTCACTCTGGCTAAGGCTGCTCTTCTTAGAAAGGGAAAATGGCTGAAATGAAAGATCTTACTCTGTATGTATATTTATAGGTATCAACTGTGTGGTAGTTTGTGTGCATACCACCACCAGAATAAGAACATCACTCCCTTTTAAGCCATACTTCTGCCACGAGTGCAGAGAGCGAGGCAGCCGAGGAATCTGTAAAGGGCTGTTTATTTCCTACTAGAGTCCCATGGACATCACCTAGGAAGGGGCCAGCTCAATAATCAAACCCTCATATCTGCTCCCTGCCCCTGCAGGCTTATGCAGCCTCTGAGGTACTATGTTCATTCCATAGATCCAGGTACACATGATGCCTCTCTCTCTTTCCCTCCCTCCCTCTCTCTGTCTCTGTCTCTCTCTCTCTCTCTCTCACACACACACACACATACACGCAAACACACACACACACACACACACAGGTTCTTAAGTTAAGGCACCAAGTCCAGCCTACATGCCCTTGCAAGTCTTTGCCCATCAGGCAGTGGCCCTGGCCCAGGGCTGAACCATGTGTGTACAGATGGGTAAGTGCAGTGTCAGGAGTCTCTTTACAAATGAGGGACAACGATAATGGCTCTGTGCTCAGCCCAGTCCCCCTGTCCTCTGGGAGGGGCCTCCTGCCTCCCCGTCAGTTGACCAAGTACCTCCATCCCTTCTCACCAGCTGGGGTGGGAACAGGTCAGCCATAGTTCACGCCAGTGCTTGGAACTCAGGGCTTTGCTTCCAACACCAAGAATGTGCCCTTTCTAAGAGTGGCAGGGGGCTATTTTGGGATCAGAAAGAGGATCCAGTCACCACATCAGAAGGACAGAGTTGGCTACTTAGGCCAAGATGGAGGGTGAGGTTTCTCATTGTGCTTTTAAAACCCAACCATGTTTAACAGGAAGAGAGCTGAACTTTTTCCTCTGAGCTCTCTTACCCTTACCCCAGGGAAAGGGTTTCTGTAGACTGGAGTGGAGGGAAACTCCGTGCATTGCAGTGGGAAGTCACTTCAGCGTCTCCTCCCCGGGTCCTACTGGAGCTGGCCCCAGCACACTTATGGTACCCACTTAGTGGGTGGCACCGAGGTGGGGACTTCCTGCGGATATACGGTATGGCTGTGATGGAGGATTAAAGGTCTACGCGAAGACTGCGTTAGGGCTGTGGGGCTCCTGGGTCCTGCGCAGGGTCAGGACACCCAGATAAAGTAGGCGACCTCGTCTAGGTCGACGGGGTAATCCGTGAGCAGCACTGGCGTCTTGTCGAAAAGCTCACCCTTATAGCTGCGCCACTTGCCTGCGGGCAGGTACACGTCCCGCTCCTGCTTGCCGGGCTCCAGTACTGGTGCCACGAGCAGCGTGTCTCCGATAAGGAACTGTGAGTCGATGCGGTGCGCCGTCTCATCGTCAGGTGCGATCCACCAGAGGGGGCGCACGATGGGGTCGCCTGTGTCAGTGACCTCACCAGCCAGCTCAAGCAACAGCGGCGCCACCAGCGAGGCCCTCAGTGCGGTGAACTTGTGCGCAATGGCCACCACTTCGGCGTCGTACCGCCAAGGTGGAACAGAGAACTGCATAGCTGGCATGAAGGCGGCCACCTCCAGCCAGCGCACGTACAGTTCGCGATCCGGCACATCGCTGCCGCTCGCTGTGCGCTCTGGCACCGCGTTGCCCCCCACCATATCCGGCAGGATGAACGGGTAACCCAGCATGCTTACGGTGAGCACGGCAGGGATCAGAGAGCGCAGCCCCAGATCATAGCCCCACACGGAGTCGCGGTCCACCAGACGGAAGAAGCACGAGATGTTCTGTGACTGGTAGCCCACGCGGACCTCGGCCAGTGAAAAGAAGGGCAGCGCCATTTCGGTGTAGCGCCGACTCCATATGTTGGGGTCAGACAGAGGCCTGTAGGTGCTGAAGTCCCGCGGCAAGTAGCTGACCTCGCCCGCATCGAACTTGAAGGAGGCCACGGCGTAGCGTGAGCGCAGTCGCCGCAGGTGCCCCTGGAACCAGTCGCGGGCCTCTGGGCGCGTGAAGTCGAGAACAGCGCCGATGCCATTCCACCAGCGCACCAGCGCAGGCAGCCGGCCCGTGGGTTCACGCACAAACAGCTCGCGCTCCACGCCTTCGCCAAAGCGCGAAGAGTTGTAATTGACAAATGGGTGCACCCAGAGTGTGACGCGAAAGCCGGCATCGCGCAGGCGGCGGAACATGTCACTGGCGTTGGGAAACTTGGCCTCGTCGAAGTCGAAGTCGCCATAGGCAGGTGTGTACATGTCGTCGATTTCCAGGTGGCTGCTGTTGAAGCGGTGCTGGCGGATCTGCTGGGCGAAACGCTGCACCTTGTCTTGGTCCACCGCGCGCCCGTACAGCACCCAGGTGGACCAAATGGGGTCCCGGAAGGCCTCGGGTGCTGGCACCCTCGACGGCTTGTTGAAATAGCGCCGCACCATGTACTTGTGGATGGAAGTGACATCTGAGCCGACACACACGCGATAGCTGAGTTCTGGCGCAGCTGAGCGGCCAGCAGGCGGCTTGTAGGGCGTGTCGTGGTAGCGCGCCTGCAGCCGCAAAGAGCGCTCCGTGCCGTTCCAGCCCAGGTGAAAGGGCACTGAGTCATTGACCTTGATGGCAGCTGCGCGCGAAGACAGCCAGTAGCGCTCGAGGATGCCTCCAAATGCGGCGTTGGAGGAGTACACGTCGCTGGTGACGAAGGGCTGTGGCTCCTGCTGGCCGTCCAGGCGAATGGGCCAGTGCTGGGTCTTCATCTCTGCGCCACCGTACCAGTGCGCCCCCACGTCGCCCAGGAACATGGCGTGCTCCACAGCACGCCCGGGCTCAGCCTCCTCCCAGCGCACGCGGTAGCACATGACTGTATCCTTGGGCCTCACAGTCTGGATGAAGAAGTGCAGCGGGCGCGCGTCGGCAGTGCGAGAGCAGCCGAGCCGTGCGCCGTCGCGGCTGCAGGAGTCAAGGTCCAGCGCGCCTGAGCGGAAGGCCAGGCGGAAGACCTGCTCGCCCTTTTGGTTGCGGATGGAGAAGCCACCGCTTTTGAGGTCCAGCAGCTCGGCACGCAGGCGTTCTGCCTTGCGTAGAGAGGCACTGTAGTAGCACCAGGCTACGATCGCAGCCAACACCAGCAGCAGCCCCAGTACTGCGGAACCCAGCAGGGGCTTCAGATCTTTGGACGGCTTGGGCTTGGTAGGCGAGAAATTGTCAGGCAGGAAGGTGTACATGGCTGTGGCTGCAACGGCCTCGGGGCTCCTACGACTTGTGTGGCGGCGGGGATAGGCCTGGCTCTTCTCCTGAGTGTTCTGGGGCATCAGTCCCCGGTTAAGGAAGAAGCTGGCAGTACGGCCACCTGACAAAGCCCATCTGAACCTGGCCTGCCTGAGTCAGGAAGGGGAAGAGAGAGGTGGAACTGAGCTTTCTCATTCCATAGTATTTCCATTTGCTGCAGCAAGAAAGAAGCGGTGTATATTTTGGGAAGGTGTATACTCGGGTGTAAGGGCTAGACTCTTACCAGGATGTTCTGTCTGCATCTTACCTACCCTTTCTCATGGGCCCCTCTGCTTGCCAAAATTAGTCAGGACTCTGAAGCAGGAGGGACAGATTGCATGCATCCCTGTTTTCCTGGTAGAGGAACAAACCCAGACAGGGTCAGGGAGCTGTCCAGGATCACAGAATTAATCATGGATCATACATTGGGGCAGTTCAGGCTGAAGAGAAGGAGAGGCACCTGGAAAGAGTCTGGTTTCCTAGAGATGTGGCCATGGTAGGAGAGGGAAGATAAACCATCCAGCTCCCTGAGACCTTTAACAGAGCAGTAGTCCCCAGAGGGGAAGAGGAGAGAGAAAGGGGAACAGTTCAGGCATGGAATTTAACCTTGAGTCAGAAGCCATATTAAATCTGGAGATAGAGAAGATACTCAAAGCCAGACTCAGTCCTAGGGCCTGGTTTGTAGAGGGGCAGGATTGGGTTTGGACATTAGGACTGGGGTCAGGAGCCTAGCATGGGGGCTGTGGTGGCTTCTCAGATCTCCCTTTCTTTGCTCTCAAACTCCACCCTGCTCTCAGCCATCGATCACCAAATCCATTTCCCTGCTCACCTTCCTGCTCTGCTCTCTGTTACCATATCTGTCAGCCAGCTATCTATCTCCTGGCTTTGTTTTTACCCACTGTCCTGTTGCCCCTACCCTAGTTAGAGCACTGCCATTTCTCCCTTGTATCTTTGCAGCACATCCCCAAGAGGCCTCACTGCTTTCAACTTCTTTTCCCCTAATGCCTTAGGCTCACAGCAACCATAGTGATCTTTCTAAAGCACTTATCAGACTACATCTCTCCTAGTTTAGGGAGCTGCTGACGACCCCCATGATGAAGTTCAGAAGTGTAAGCTTTGCAATTGAGGCTCAAAGCATAACATGACCTTACCTGTCCTTCTGATTCCACTCTAGCCATGCCTATCCTACGACTACCAAGCTCATTCCTTTCCTAACCTCAATCCTTCAGGCCACCTGCTTTAGAAAATTTCACCCACCTCTCTTGGGCCAACTTCTCTGCTCTACCTACCAGCTCTCTGGGGATCAGACACCCCCTACTCCACATATACACTCTTACACACTGTTTGCTAAACATTCAGATATGACTGCAGAGAAACACAGACTTGGGAGGAGGTCTGTGTCCCAATCTGCTTTTCAAGGCTACTGGCTCTTCTTGTCCCAGCCCTCAGGGCAGAGTCCAACAAAGAAACAGCATCAGCCAGGTGTATACACAGACATGTACACTGCCAGCCAGCCAGCTGCTCACCTGCTCCAGCTTGGGGGAGGGAGAGAGGGAGACTAGCAAATAGTAATTAGACTCCTCCCAGATGCCAGTGGCTGTTTCCAAGTCCCCAGCGACTTCCAAGGAGATACCAGAACTGCTCAGGTTTCTTGCCTCCCTGACTTCTCCCATGAGACTATCAAGAATGCCCAGTGCAGGTCAGAATTTTGATCCCAGATGTCAATATACAGCTCTCCACAATGCCCCTCCTCCAGGGAGGTGCTATCTCAGGACCTTATTCTCTGAGTTCCCTCCCCGCAACTCTCTAAACTGGTCAGTTTCAGCTGGTTTAGAATAATAGCCTTTTATTTCCCTCCTCTTATCCCAAACAACCTAGGCTTCAAAACTCCTCCATCCAACTAGGTACAGGTTAGAAAATCCCTCCTGAAGAATGCATGCAGTACCCTTTAGCTGATGGCCTTAAGCTGAAGGCCAAAGAAGGCCTTAGGTGGCCCAGGCCAGACCTGCTGTACATTTACTCAAAACTTTCATATTGAATCAGCCCTTCTCATGACCCTTGGATGGTCACTAAGGTGATCTCAAAAGCCTTTTTGAACACTTAGGTTCTGATACTCTTCTAGGATTCTGAAGCTCTTTTCTGAAGGACAAGAACCCACAGGGCCTGTGCTGGTCCCCCTAATGCCGCCACAACATCCAACCCTAACCTTAATGCTGAACGGGAGGCATAACTGCTGTGCCCATTTTACAGATGAGGAAACAGTGGCCCAAACAGAAAAAGGAACTTGTTTGAAGTCACCCCAGTAGCAAGGTTGCCTGAATCCAAAATCTCAGCTTAATCCTCCACAGTGTAAGTTTTAGGAATGGGAGATGATGATCTGACTGGCTATTTGAATGTAGCAGAAGAAAGGAGCTTTGTGGCCAAGAAGATGGGACAGGCTTCCACCAGGCTGGTGTGGACATGGTGAGGCCTATCTTCCCAAGGGCTAGTGCTGCTTCTTGCTCCAGGAAGGCTACTTGTGGGTAGGAAGTGGCAATTTTAATGGCATCTGGTACCGGAGCTGTGGGGGAGGAATTGTGGTTCCCGTGTTAACGGTAGTGCTAGAGACCTCTGTAATCTGCCGCCTCCGCCACTGCCCAACCACAGGCTAGTGCTGGCAGGTGGGGTTTGCCCTAGCCAAGCCTCTCCCTGCTTGACACTCAACCTCAGTCTTGGCTGCCAGTCCCTGGCCAGATCTAATGAGGAGGGCTGGGCCCAGCCCAACTGAGGGGAGGTCATTCCTTGTTCAGTCGTTTGTCGAACACAGTCCCCGGGGGTAGGGTAGTGGGTGGAAATGTAAAAGGCAACTCGATCTGGCCCAGCTCCCTGTCCTGCCCAGCGACGGGATCCGGGGCTATCGAGTGACTGCGCCTATAGCCTAGAATACTCCACACCAACCCCCAGCGCTACAGCTATAATGTCCGAAGGGACAGACTGAGGTCAAAGGGCCGGTCGCCCGCTGGGAACCACGGCCAGAGGAAGGGGCCCAGGTGTCCAGGCTTGCCCCACTTACTCATCTATAGGAGCGAAAGTTCAGGAAATGTTCTCCCTCAGCAACCCTCCCAAGGTCTTCCCTCTGGGCTCACTCACGGCAGTGACCCCAGAAGTGGGGGTGAAGGGAGTCTCCCGCAGATCCCCTCCAAGCTAGCCGAAGTTGAGCTGCCACGGCGCAGCGCGGGTCGCTGCCTAGCTGGGGACAGCTGAGTCCCTCCTCGGGCTCCGCCCCCTGGCTGCTCGGCCACGCCCCGGCCGTTCTGTCTCGCCTCGGGTCTCAGAGTCCTGCTCCGCCCCTGGCTCCCGACCATCCTCCCACATTGTCACGCGGACCTGAGGCCACGCCTCTTAGCCCCTACCTTCCTCCAGCGCTCTACGCCCAGCTCCTGGCGGCTCAGGCCAGCAGCCAGCCTGGTGCTTTCCGACTCCTCCCCCCCACCTGCAGGCCCGCCCCCTCTGGGCAGTTGCTTACCCTCATGCGGGCGGGGCTCTGCCCCAGGCCTGCTGGGAAATGTAGTTCTGGAGGAAGGTGCAGCTGCCGAATGTTTAGGTTTATGCACCTCCAGGCTAAATTGTATGAGAAGGAGCATGCCGCAGGAGAAAATCTGCCCCTTGGGACTCCTCTTCCTGCAGATTTGGGCAGGTTGAGGCCTTTTCGGTATAACGCTCTCATTAGCTCTCCAGAAGTTTTCCCACATGGAAAAAGGATAGTGGAATTCTAGGAGGGTCTCAGTAGCTCAATGCAGGTCAAATCCAATCGAGGACCTCAAGGAGGGAGTCTAGTTCCACCAGCCGGGAGGCCCAACCTATCGGTTCTCACCAGAGCAGACCAGCAGTGTCTGAGATCGGAGACTGAGAAGACTGACTTCTGCTATTGTGCAAGGCCTAACCTCAACCCACTCCCTTTGGTGACAGCCCTTAGAAGTGCCCGCGCTGCGAGGATGTGGGGATGCCCTGACATACCCCTGTCCTCAAGAGGCTTGGGGTGCAAAAATAATGGCGATCCTGGAGATTCCAGAACACTCCACTCCTTGCTCCCTCAGGAACAGAGAAATAGGACTTTATTTCGTAATCTGAAACTTCTTGGTCATGAAACCTTTCAAAATTATGTTTAGGAAACCTTGAACTTGGGTGGGGGAGGGCAGCAAGAGTACTTGAACATGGACTTTTGGGGATGCTGTGATGGAGACTCGGGGAACAGAGATCAAAAGATTTGGGTATAGGGACATGGCTCTGACTGCAGAATGAAGGATTCTGGGTCCACTGAGATATAGGGGTGAAGGGACATCTAGGTTTGGGGAATATTGGGGAAATAGCTGTAGGGCCTTCCTGGGATGAGAGGTAGATGGGCCCTCCTGCACAGCTAGGTGGACCCATTATTTTGGGCTCTGGGATGGAAAGGAGGGGGACATTTCCCTTATAAGTCTACTCTTATGTGTCAGGAGGGCACTGTGGGTCACCTAAGGGAAGTACTGAGATGATATGATGGGAAGGGCTCAGGTAGGATGACTGCCTGCATCTTAGTTGAGGGATCTTGTCAGAGGCCTGAGTGACTGTCTCATCAATGCCAGATCCTGTTGGGTAAGGACACAGGAGGCAGCCTTTAGGGTGAAGAGTTTATTTATTGCTCAGCCCCCTTGGCCCGGCCAGGCCAGGCTCTACCAGCAGTGGTAATCAGGATAGGTCTCCGACACAAACTCAGGGTGGACCACATAGTTGTTTCTCTGGGGGCCACCGGTCTTCTTGAAGTGACTTGTGTCCCATCTGTGGGGAGAGATGAGTCAGCCCTTTTGGACCCTCATACCTCTGATTCAAATTCTCAAAGCTAAACTTATCCCACATTTTGTCCCCAATACTGACCCCAGGCTCCAACGCTGACCTCTTGACCTCAGATTCTACTGTTAAATTTTTATTCCCAATACCCTGCTCCCTAACATTGGCTTCTTACTTGTTACTTCAAGCCCTGAACCTACACCCTGATCTCTAGACTTTGAGCCTTACTGCCAACCTGTAACCCCTCAATGCCGTCTCCACTCCCCCTCACGGGGTCCTCAGTTACCAGCTCTGATGTCCCCGTGGTACTGGCGCCCCCTGGTGGCACATTCCAGTCAGTGCATCGCAGCGGACGTTTCCCACCCCAACTAGTCCCCCGGTCCCCAGCCGCACCAAGGTTACAGCTTCCCTGTCTGTGCTCATTTGCCTGTGTGTGCGCCAGACTTACCTAAGGTTCGGACAAGGGTAGTACGATGGCGGGGGAGTTATAACAGCACATTGCATTCCGGCCCGGTGCTCGCAGGGCGATACACTCCTGGAGGAGGAAGCAGAGGGCAGGATGGAGTTGGGTGGGTCTTTTGATAACCCTCTACGCCCCAACCCAGACCAAGACTCCCAGTTGCGCTTCAGATGTCAGTCCTACGGTTCGGATATTCTCCCCTCTGGCCTCCTGGTCCTTCAAGACCCATTGAAGCATCGTCTCTGGGAAGACACCTGGAAGTCCCCCTCCCCGTAAGGCCTCGTTTCTGCCGCCCAGGCTGAGCCGTGGAGACCGCTGGACTCTGAGGAGGGTAGTTTCCAGTCACTAAGGACCTAGGAGCCACCAGATCCTGCCATGGGACGGCACTTACTCCAGCTCTTACCGATGAGACGACGTTTCTGAGGCTTAGGCAATTTCTCTGTCCCCCATTCCCTTCTGAGCAATAAACTCCAGTCTCGCACAATGTATCAGGCTCTCAGCCTGGGGAGGGGCGGAGGTATCACCAAGGGGTTAGTGACAGGGTTCTGGGCCTCCCTCCTCCTTTCACAGCTCTCTAGACGGACGCAGACATTGGAGTTCTCCCAGGCTCGGCCTGCCTTGTCTAACACCAGGTGCAAGAAGGCTGCCGCCTGTTGAGCGCTCGGGCCCCAGATTCGTCGACAATAACACTCGAGACTGTCTACCTCCGGAGGTGGTGCCTCGCAGGAGGCCAGGGCCCCTCTGGTAATGCGGTCACCAATTCCTCTCTCTCTTAGAACCCGGCGATGACCCTGCCCATTACCAACGGTGACCCAAGGCCCAGGAATAGAGGACACTGTTCTGAGGACACATGGCACTCCCTAAGCTAGAACCTGCGGCTCCACGGCCGGGTGTCCAGGTAGGGGGCTTGGCCGGTGGGCATGGAAGGGGATGTAACTGGTGCACGGGGGTTGTTCCTCAAAAAAACCCTCTGGAGGAGGAGAGGTACAGGAGCCCGGTTGACTTTGAGCGCAATTCGGAGAGGGACAGGGTCGGGAATTCGGGGGAATCTTCGTGCAGGTTCTCTCTTCTCAGCGGTCCGCTCAGACCCTTGGGCCCGAGGGCCGGATACGCAGGCGCCCAGTAAGGGGGCCCCGCGGGCTGGAGGCGGAGTGGGGTCCAGCAAAGAGGCAGGGCAGAGCTAAGAGTGGGGTGGGCTGGAGCACGCGGGTAGGGCGGGGCCCTGGGGGCGGGGCTCGATTAGGGGCGGGGCCCGGCTACTGCGCGCGCTGCCCCGCGAACCTTACAGTCGGCTGCTCTGCGCACAAAGGCCGCAGGCGGCGTTCGGTGCACGGTGGCCCGGCGACGCAGTAGTCCATCCCGCGCAGACAGTAGTGGCGGCCCGAGCAAGCGCTTTTATAACCCTGGAAGGGCAGGCGGCCCGGCAGCGAGTCCACACACCCGCAGCGAGGCGTGATCTGCGGCAGCGGCTGGTTGCGGGACAGCGAGTTCAGCATGTTCACCACTACCTCTCGCTCTGTGCCCGCGGTCCCCGGGCCCGGGCGGCCCAGACAGAGACACAAGGTCATATGACACAGAGTCATGGGAAGAGACAGAGTCAGAGACAGGAAGAGATGGAGACACAAACAGGGATAGAGACAGGGTTACACCCTCTCCAGGGCCCTCGGTCTCCACCCCCTACCCCGGGTCCCTACCCGCCATCCTTTTGGCCTATCCGTTCCCCTCCACTGTCCCACCACCCGTTACCGTAGGCGTTGAGTCGCTCCGGCTTAGGAGGGTACACCAAGGGCATTCCTCGAACTACTGTCTCCATCCCGGCCTCCTGGAAGTGGCACACACGGTACCTCAAGCTCTGACCCTGGAGAGTTCCTCCTTCTGGAGGTCTTCCCAGAACACCCAGACCAGTCCCTGGCTGCGCCTTCTCCCGCCCTCCAGATGCTCCCCTGCTCTCCTGCCCTGAGTGTTTGGGCTTGTCGCTGGGCAACGCCGTTTACTCTGCCTACCAGGGGTTAGGGGAGGAGGTGGGCTGTAGGTGGACCAGGTCTGGACCTGGGCCTCTGACAACCCTGTCTCAGAGTTCGCTTTTGATTTACCTCTGTCTAGCTGACTCTGTGTAACGGTGTCTCCGTGTCTCTCTACTAGTGGTTTTTCAATATTGCAGTATTGCCTAACTATCAGAATCATTTGGGGAACTGGTGAAAAAATTTTGATTCTTGAGGAATTCTAATTCAGAAGGGTTCTGTCAACCCAAGGTCTATCATCAACCTACAGTTAAAAACCCTATTCTTGGGGAGCAGGGTATAGTTCAAGTGGTAGAATACATGCTTAGCATGCACAAGGTCCTGGGTCCAACCCCCAGTAACTCCTCTAAAAGTAAATAAGTAAATAAACCTAGTTATCTCCCCCACCAAAATATTTAAGAACCCCTAATCTTGCCTGAGATTCTCTCAGATTCCTGCTTTCTTCACACCTGGGTCTGCGGCTGGACTCTTTCCTATCTTCTTGGAAGACTCCCCTGTATCTATCTGCACTGCCTCTGGATCGCTTTGTTTCCCCTCCCTTTGTCCTTGTTCACATCACAGAGGGGAGGGAGGAGCAGGTAGACTCAGCCTATCATTGACTCCTTGGCCAGACCAGCCAGGTGGCAAGCTTCAGGGAGGTAGCTCACCAAGGACTGCACACCAGCCATGTGCCCACAAAGCCGAGCTGATATTGGGACTCAGGGGACCCAGTTCCTAAAGATTGGGACCCAGTGGCCCAACACAGCTCCACTCCTGAGCTCCCTTGTTTTCTAGAAAATACAAACCCTAGTCTCACAAATGGGAAAAAGCATTGGAGCATTGTGAGTGGGAAAGGGCTGAGGAACTAATGGTGAAATATCAGTCATTGTGGTTTGGGGTGGATGGGGGTGTGTGTCCCAGACCCTAGGCATCTGGGCTGTGCACAGTAGATACCTTAGGCAGCCGGTGAAGGTATGTGGTACATTTGTTCCAGCCGGTGCGGTTGTACGGTCCCATCCTCCATGTGTCATACTGGTTACCACACAGGTAGTTTGGGTTGCATTTGTCTGCTTGATCATAGGGGTAGAGACGTAAGACAGTGTTACTCTTTATTCTATCTATTTATTCTTAGATGTTTCTCCTCTGATCTCCAGCACAAAGCTGGACTCTCACTGATCTCCCTCAGGCCGGAGAAGCCGAGCGTGGCCCCACACTTGTCTTAGACACTGAGATGCAGCCCATATCCCATCTAAGGCAAGCTTCTGAGTGGGGTCTGGATCTTTTGAGTTGATCACTTTTCATCCTGGCACTACCCTCTCTGAATCAGCCAACCTGGAAACCTTAGAAACAGAGCCTCCTCCCAATTCCTCCCTCTCATCTTCCACATCCAATTTCCAAAGTTTGCTTATTTTGCCTCCTTAAAAGCACTTGAATCTATTCCTTCTTCCAGCCCCCCTCCATGATCTCTGCAGCACCCCCCACCCCTGTATCTCTGCAGTGCTTAAACTGAGAGACAACATGTCATGGTTAATAGAATGGACTCTGCAGACAAACTGCTGTGGTTTAAATTTCAGCTCGGCCAGGTATTAACTGTGTGTGACCTTGACTGAATTAATTAATTTCACCATGTCTCAGTTCCCTTAATTTTAAAATGGGGATACTATCTACCCCACTGGGTTGTTGTGAGATTTAAATGAGTTAATATTTGTAAAACACTTAGAACAATGCCTGGAATATAGGAAATTATTATTATTATTATTATTATTATTATTATTATTATTATTATTATTATTATTATTATCCTACTGGTTTCCCTGCCTCATTTTGAAATCCTACAGTCCAATCTCTACATGAAACCTGTGGCACTTACCATAACTGAAAATCTGACCAGAACATTTCCCTATTTAAAACCCTCTAAAGTTCCACCCATCCAGGCACCTAAGTCTGTCCTACAAGTTTCTCTATGATCCACCCCACTAACAGTCTGAAAGAACACATGTGAGAGATTAGGAAAGGAGGTCCAGGAGCCCTAGAGAAAGAGCAAGTGTGTATGTGGGGAGCAGTGTGTTAGGATTTGGAGTTCTGGGTTGGTAGGTTTTTCATACTGAGTTTAAAGTGTTTGGGGCCATCCAGGTAAACTTGACCATAATCAGATAAAGGAGAGTGGAATTCTGGTGAGAGGTCAAGGTTAGGAACAAGGGCTTGGAGTTGTCAGTAAAGATATGGGTTAGACAAAATGGTCTCAGGAGAGGAAAAGGAGAGAAGAGGGCTCAGAGCAACACCCTGAGGAACCCCATGTTTCCAGAATGAACAGACCAGACACTCAGGAATTTGAGGCATCAGAGAAGTTGAGGAAGGAAGGAGTTTGCACAGAGCGTGGTCAGAGTGAAATGCACAGAGTAGGTTTCATTAGGTAAAGACTGAAGAGTCCCATGGATGAGGTAATTGGAACCATACAAGATCAGTTTTAATAAACATTAAACATGAATGTAGGAGATGAAGATTTATCATCAATTCATCCAACAAATACTTATGAAGCCTGGCACTGTTCTAGATGGAGGTGGCACAACTGTAAATAAAACAAGATTCTCAGCTCATTTGGAATGTACAGGGAGACAGATAATAAACACCAAACCAAGTGAGAAAGATACTGTTTCATAAGGCATAAGGAGTGAGGAAGTAGAGATAGTGACTATAGACAATATTTCCAAGAATCTTGGCTGTGAAGAGGAGGAACAAGAGAAATTTGAGGCAGGAGGAAATCAGAAAAGGCTTCCAGACTGAGGGGAGAGAGGTGTGGTGGGACAGAGGGATGCAGAAGAGAAGGGGCACCTGATGGAACAGGGTCACTGTGAAGATAGGAGGAGGTGGCACCCAGAATACATTTGTGGGGATTGGTGTGGAGGAGGTTAATACTCCCTCCCTCTCTCCAGGGATAAGACCTGGAACTCTTCTCATTCTTTGGCATAGACTGGGAGCTCCCAGAAGGCAGGGCTTGGATCTCCTCCTCCAGGGTCATGGTCAAGATTAGGGTCAGGTCAGGTGATTGGGAGTCCAGCTGGAATGAGGGTGGTTAGAGAAGAAGCCCAGGTCATGGGTGGGGATAAGGTTTATATAGGATCAGAGTGGAGGTCAGGATCCAAACTGAGTTGAGGTGAAGGGTATGTTTTGGGGTCACTGAGTGGGCTTACAGTTGGGTGACAGGTGAGGCCCTACCTTCCTCTTGAAAGAGCCAGTATTTCTCAGGCAAGTAGGGGTGGCCTGGTATGGACCCCTTATAGCTGTAGTCCTGCACAGCACACTTGACCATCTTCTGCAGGGCTTCAGGATCCACGTGGCGCCGCTCAGTCTGAGTCAGGCCCTGGGCAAGGGGAGAGGGGAGAGATAGCCAGGTGCACGGAGGCCCCAGCCTTGGCGTCCTGCTGGACCTAGATTTAGCCCCTATTGAGAAGGTCAGGATGAGACTTTGCTGCTCCTACTCCCTGAAAACCTCTGAGCTGAAGGGCCTCTTGGATCCTCTGGGCCCAGCTGAGGTTTTGTTCTGTGGGCAGATCCTGCACAATCATACTACATATGGGTGTAGGGGCCCCATGACTAAGTAAGTGAGTTTTACACACACAGACACACGTCCAGACATACACATAAATCTGTGTCCAGATACACTCAAAGACACACATGCAGATATACATCAATACATACACACTCAGACATGCTCATACACACACACAGAAACAAAATCAGTCATTTAGAAGAACTCACAAATGTCAGTTTTTCCATCTGAGGCTTTCCTCAGATGTCTGTAACCTTTGATTGTCTGCTCATGTTTGAGTAGGAGACTAAAAGCTCATTGGAGGCTTTGAGCCGTGGGTGGGCTTTGTCAACCATGAGCATCATTGCAGGATGATCTGGCTAGACTGTTTTTTGCAAACTCTGTCAGTATCTTTAGATCTTTTCTCTTGGGCTGATCAGATCCTTCAGAAGAGACTCTTGCAGTTTTTGGCCCGAGAGTAGTGACCTAGCTCCCAGTGTTCTGAGAACCTAGTGGAGAAGAGGGCTGTCGGAGGTTTTAGCATTCAGAATGTGGAGGTTCACCTGTTTTCAGTGTAGTACCTCGACTTTAACTGGGCCTGATATCCCCAGTCCTGAGATCCTTGCCAAAAAATAAGCCTTCTGATTTTTGCAGAGATGAGGCGGGCAGTCACCATATGGTATGGAATAGAACAGGGGATGATTAGTGGCTTTAATTGTTTCTTAACAGCTTTCAAGTCATTATTGTTCTAGCCTTGGTCCTGTCCCATCTTCAGTTCCAGAGAAGCCTAATATTACCAATTTCTGAGCCTTTCAAAAATTCTGCAGTTTTAAGTTGAATTATGTCGTATGTTTCCCACTGCTGGCTTTGGATTTAGCTTTCTCAGATCTGCTAAGTTAGTTACTACTTATCTATTACACTTTCCAGCTTCTGAAATTTTGTTGCCATCATCCCTTCCTTCTCCTATTCTTATGAATTTATGTCTTAAATATCCATTTATTGTAGTTCTAGAGGGGTTTTAGAAGGAAGTATTTTTAACCCAGAGAACTGTAGTTATATATTCTACATGTTGCTTTATCAGTTACACGTTGTAAATATTGTCTCTCAGTTTTTGGCTTGTATCTTCATTTTCTTCTTGGTGTTTTTTGATGAACATGAATTCTTAATTTCAACATAGTTGAATTTATTAATCTCGTATATAGTCTTTTGTGACTTAAGAAATCTATCCATATTCTAAGATAATGGAGATAATGTTCTGTATTCTTATAAAAGCTATACTTTTTTACTTTTCATATTTGTCTTAATCTGTCAGGAATTGCTTTTTGGGTTTTGTGTGAATTAGAAATCAATTTTATTTTTGTCCACATGGATAACCAATTGTCCCACGAGTACTCTGCTCCCACAGATTTGTAATGCCACCCCAAGCCTGACACATCTTTTCCATAGCTTTACTTTCAGTCATCTCTGTTGCATATGGTTTCCATGTATGCGTGGCTCCATTTCTGATCTATTTTAATCCAATCTGTATATCTCTACAGTAATACTATGTTTCATGAATTTTATAGCTTGGTAATAAATATTAATATCTGATTGGGCAAGTCTCCTTCTTCAGGTGTGTTTTAGCTATTCTTGGGCCTCTGCTCTTCTCCATAAATTTTAGAAACAGGTGGTCAAATTCTTCAAAAAATCCTGTTGAGATATTAATCCAAATTGCATTGAATCTTTAAAAATATATATATTTTATTATTGTATCATTTTATTTTATTTTAAATTGGCAGGGGGAGGTGTCTAGGTTTTATTTTATTTTTTGAGGAGATACTGGGGATTGAACCCTGGACCTCAAGCATGCTAAGCATACACTCTACAACTTGAGCTATACCCTTCCTCCTTGAATTGCATTGAATATTAATGTAACTTTTCCTATCCATGAGCATGTTATACCTTTTCATTTATTTAAGTATTTTTTTTTAGGTATTCAGAGTTTTATAATACTAGCCATAGTTTTATATATACTGTTAGATTTATTTCTACTTATCTTTACTCTTTGTTGCTAAAATGATATATATGTATTTATGATTATGCTTCCTAAATATGTTTTTGATGTAAAGAAATGCAATTGACATTTTTAATCTTCTATTCATCCAACTTTCTAAATTCTTATTCTAATAATTTGTAGATTTTATATACACAACTCTCATCTGTGAATAAAAGTTTTTACAAAAATTCCTTTCCTATTCTTGCATCTTACATGATATTGTTTTCCAGTATTTTTATTCTTTCTTTAAATTTTACAAATCAAAAATTATTATAATTATTTTCTATAGATAGTTTGCTTAAGTTTATCTCATATTTACCAATTTCTTATAGCTCACCATTCGTTCTTGCATCTCAGACCTTCCTTTTGCGATCATCTTCCTTCTCCCCAAAGTATATCCTTTAGAAGTTCCTTTATTGTGGTAGTAAATATTTTAGTTTTTGTTTGCCTGTAAATGTCTTTATCTTTCTTTTGTTGTTGTGGGAAGACATTTTGAAAATAATTTCTCTCTGCATGTTTTTAAGATCACCTCTTGAGCTGATACTGTGCAGTTTCATGTGAGTTACCAAAGAATCTGTAGATTCATTAGTTGTGGAAAATTCAGAGCCTTTTTCTCTTCAGATAATGCCTATTCTCCTTTCTGCTCTTTCCTTCTGGGACTTGGAGTAGTTGAGTGGGATCCTCTCTTTCTATCTTTCTTATTGCTTAATGTTTCTTTCATATTTTCTGTCTGTCTCTCTGTGCTGCGTTCTGGGAAATTTCTTTCACTCTATCTTTCATTTCACTGACGCTCTTAAGCTGTATCTAATTTGCTCCTAAACCCATCCATTGAGTTTTTGGTTCTAACACATGTATCTTTTATCTCTAAAATTTATTTTTCATTTCTTTTAAAAATTTGTCTGGGGTTATTAAAAATATAATCTTTTGCTTGCTTGTTTTGTTGATTTCATGTTTTATTTTAAAAAATTCATAATTATTTTGTATTCTTTAACTGTTAATCTAATATCTGATGTTCTTAGAGGTTTAAGTCTATTGTTTCTTGTTTCTGCAGACTCTGTCATATGGTGGTTTGTTTCCTTATATCTCTTATTGTGAGCTCAGATTTGTTGACTGTACTCTGAAGGACACCTGGAAACCTACATTGAAGATATTTTCCACCATAGAAAATATACATTCATCTGTGTGCGTGTGTATGTGTGTGTGTGTGTTGGGGGGCAGGGAGCCAGAGATCACTGAACTTTCTGGTTCAGTTTGTAATTTACAGGTTTAATTGCTCCATCTTTCAGCTAGCTTAAAGCTTAAACTCCTGCTTGTAGTAGTGATAGTGGCATTTGTCCTCAAGGCAATCCTGTCTTCTAAATATACTTACCATTTGTCTCCAGGATAGTCCAAAACAAAATGAAAGTGAATTTTTATGCATGACCTAGTTGTTTTGGAGCAGGAGGGCCCTTCAGAGTTTCCAGACCCTCATATTGCCAGAAGCAGAAGTCTTTTGCCTTTGTTATTAATCCCACTGCTATCTGACTTTCATTCCTCTCCACTCACTGTAGCTGTCTGGCCAAACTGCAAAGGGTTACTACATCCAAGAGATCCCTTTCTGTGGCGACAACATTTGACACTGAGCTTTGTCCAATAATGCTGTCTTTGTCGGTTTCTCTTTGATTTTCCTATCACTCTGTCTCCTTTTATGGCTTTTCTTCCTTTACCTACCCCTTAAATACTGATATTCTCCAACGTTCTGTCCTTTCTCTGGCCATTTTCTTACTCTTTTTTGGCAATCTCATTTACTCCTATGACTTCAGTTACCATCTATATATATGCTGATGATTTCAAAATCTATGTCTGTAGCCCAAACCTCTTTCCTCTTCAAATAAGTATATCCTGCTACCCACCAGACGTCTTTTCCTGGAAGTCTTTGAATAGTTTTGTCCCCAGATGAACTCCAAATCTCTCTCTAATCTGCAATTCCAAATCTCAGTTGGTAGCACTGCCATTCTTCCAGTTTCCAGAGCTCAAAATCCAGGAGTCATCCTAATCGCTCCCCTCTTCTTTATATCCACATGGTGACCAAGATCTATTGATTGCCTTCCTAAAAATTCTCTGCTATTGAGTGTGGAAAAGCAGGCAGGAACTCTCATATTTTGCTGGTGGGCATGTAGATTATTAAAACCCTTATTATAGTAATTTGAAGTTATATCCAAAGTTTTAAAAATGTACATATACTTTCTTCCAACAATTTCATGTCTATGAATTTATCCTAAGGGAATAGTTGATGTATACAAAGATATATATACAGGAATAATTGTACTAGCAAAATAACCTAAATTTCCAGTAATAGAAGATTCCTTAAATATATGGCATGTTCATAAGATAAAATACTACGCAGTTATTAAAATTACATTGTAGAATATTTTTGAGACAGGAAAATGTACTTGATAAATGGTTTTGTGAAAAAAGCAAGATACAAAATATTAGTAAACAATCTGACACCATCTTCATAAAAAATACTTTCTTCCTGAAAAGGCATATAATAATAAATTAACTGGTTATTTGGGGGTAGGGAGATTATAGGCCTTTTTTCTTTGTGCTTCCCTGAGTTATCCCCATTTTCTGCATTGAGCACATATTTATTTTGTAAGCATAAAAATTAAAAAAATTCCCTCTTATTCAACAAATTCCCTTTCCCACTGCTGCAGTCTCTTCTTGTTTCCCACCTACAGCCTCCTCCCTCATCCTTTATCACCTCCCCGGGCTTCCTGCCCTCAGCCCCAGCCCCTCCAATCTCCTGCCATAGTGGCCAGAATGCGTAACTCACAATCCAAGCATGACACTCCCAGGCTCAGAAATCTGGAGCATTATGACCACATTTCTCAACATAAACTGAGGCCTTTGTGGTCTTCAGGCTCCTCTTTTACCATAGGGCTGGCCTTTCCCTCTGCTCTCGCTCTCAGTTTCCGGTGGGTCCCTGCCTCTGAGCTTTCCTTTGTCACATTTCTCTTCTGCTTGAAGTATCTTCCTCCTGGATCTCTTGGTAGACCTGCCCTTCAAGTCCCAGGCACAAGCTTCCCTTTCTGGCTCTTATACCAGTACACACCTCTGCTGGTGCATGTTCCACACTGGGCAGCCGTACCTTGTTCACTTTTTGCTGAGAGCTCCTCAAAGGCAGGGCCTGGCCCTTCATTGGTATATCCTGTATACCTGGCACATGTAGCTACTCGGCAAAGTTTTTGTTGGATGGTACACACGGATAAACTCCCCTAGGCAGAGTCACAGTTAGACTCACAGATCTTCTCTCCAACGCTGCACAGCCCCACTTGGCCATCTATCTTCAAGTACAAACACAGGAGATTTGCATGCATATGAGTGATACTCATGCATAAAAACATGACTATAGGCATAGCCCACAGGCAGCCCCAGGGCCTTTGCACTTTCTGATCCCTCTGCCTGGAACCCTATTCTTTCAGCTCTTCACCAGGCTAGTTTTCATCTTTCCAGTGTCAGCTCAATGTCACCCTGAGAGAGAGAGCTCTTTTACCACTTCTTTATTTAAGTAGTTACTTTCCATTTCCAGTACTCAGTTTATTTCTGTTATAGAATTTTGGACAATTTATAAAACTCTTGATTATCATCTATCTCTCCCCATCTCCTACCCTCGTGGAGTAGGAGGGGGCACCATGAGGGCAGGATCTTTTACTATTTTATGTATCATCATAAATTCCATGTCTAAGCAAATGAATCACATACACACAAATCTTCAAATAATTACAAACATATGGCAACCGCACACTGTCCAGACATACACGGCCATACACTCTGGCCTGCCCACCCCACAACCCCAGCCCCAACTCTCCACTTACCAGGGTCACAAACTTGTTGGCTTCCCAGGCCCACAGAGGTGGGTCCTTATAGACCTCCTTGATGGAGGTAGGAGCCCTGTAGGAGTCACTGTAGGTGCTGATGGGGGTCTTGGTCTTATGGGAAAAGAGGAACATAGTGGGGTCTAGGGGATGCTGTGGTGGGCTCTACCTACCAAGGGCTCCTGCAAGACATCAGTGACCACCCTCCCCTTTCCCAGATAGCCCACGCCTCTAGCCCAGCAGGTGCTCCTAGCTGCTCCGCCCCACTCCTGTGGAGGATCTCTCAGCTTCCCTCCCCAGCAGCCTTCCTGCTCCTACCCCACCCTGGTTCCTCCTCTAGGATGGTCCCTGCCCATTATGATATCATCTGGCTCAGCCCCATCCCTGGAGAGATGGAAGAGGTCCGATTTCCTCCCTACCCCAGCCTCTTCCTGCTTCAAGCCTCTCAAAACAGCCCAATTTCCAAGAGTTCAGAAGGCCCCTGGAGATCTTCTAGGCCAAGCTTCTCACTGTGATGAAGAGAAACGGAGGTTCCGAGAGGTCAAGTGACTCGCCCAGGGCCATGCAGCTGGTCGGTGGCAGGCCTGGCCTGGGAACCCACGGGTGGAGGTAGAGTGAAATGTGCACTCTGAGGATCAGTTCTCTGCCCTTCCCAGCCCGTCTGCCCCACACCCCAGGTAGGGAGCTGAGGCTGGCTTGTTTGATGCTTTTAATATCATTATTTGTGTTACACGATACACAACCAAGGATGATGGTCAATACTGCGATGGAAATGTTAAAAAAAAATATTATACACGGCTCATGTCTTCCACACATCTTCCTGGAAATAAATTAGTGAGCGCGGAGAAACCTGGCTGGGTGGCCGCCAGAGCTGAGGGTAGAGGGAGTGTTAAGGCAGTATCTACAAGGGGGAAGGTGACAGGGGGCACACTAAGGCCTCGATTCCTCCCCTCCAACCTCCCAGGCAGGGAGGAGGGAACCATGCACTCTCCCTAGACCCAGAAGGTGCTGGCTGCCAGCTTCCTACCTCTCTCCACCACTCTCACTGCCTTAGTTGGAAGCCCATGCCTGCCAGAGAACTAGGTATATCTTCTGGGGAGGGAGCCTTTCCTATGTTCCTCAGGGCCAGAGAGGTTGAGCAGTGGGCCAGAGACATACAGCAGGTCAGCAGCAAAGGCAGGAGTCTAAATAAGCCCTGGTGAGAGCTCTTCCGGGAAGAGAGGAGGTACCATGTTCTCGAAGAGTGAGTTGAGGAGACTAGGGTGGTGGTGGTAGTAATAGGAAGCTTGGCTCTGGGGCCCAGATGACCGGGGGTGGGTGTGCTGACCAGGGTGGGAGAAATAGGCTCTGATGGGGGCCAGCATGGGCCTTGTAGATGCCTTCTGTGTCCTTGCCTCCCTCTGGCATGTTGTCATCATCTCACCAGGGTCCCTGCACTAGAGGAGGTAGGGGTGGCTTGGAGGAGTTGAGGGTGCAGAGCTGCACCTCAATACAGCAGAGCTGGCAGGCCCTGGGTGTGGTGCAGGGAGAGTGCTACCCTTCCTAAGCCAGCAGCCTTACGCTTTCTTCTCACTGTCCTCTCCCCCTTCCAACTCCCACCTCCCAGGGGAGTCGGCCGTGGCCATGTCCTGCATATGCTTGTAGCATATGAGTGGTGTATATTACAGTGGATACACCAGCCAGTGTCGGGGGTCAGCATGGAAGAATGGCCCTGGAGTACGGGGTTCGTGGGACATGGACCTGAAGAGGCGGAGGCTATCTGTGCTTCTGCGTTTCTTTGCGTGTGGTGCAGGTCGATATTGCCGTCCCAGGGGAGGGCCTTGGTCACCTCTTCCCTGTTGATTTTCATCCTCAGCTTTTCTGGCAACTACTCCCGCCCCTGCCACCAACCAGCAACAGCAGAAGAAGCAGCAGTAAACACATTCTGACTCATAGACACCCCACACAGCCACACACACACAATATATATCCACACACACATACACATTCACAGACACACACACGGGTTCCCCCAAAGATCTGCGGGTATTCAGACATACGCAGGTCCGACAGGAGCCGCCCCCTCTCCTTTCCACACAGACATGCAGCTCAGGAAGCCCCCAAAGACACACAGACCTCCCTTTCCACCTCCACAGAAATTCCTGTGAAGAAATTCCTTCAGGTTTGAAAGGACCTTAAAAATAATTTCAGATGCGGTTCATTGTACAGTTGAGGAAGCTGAAGCCCAGAGAACATTAATTGTCTTGTTGGAGATAACGGGGAGAGTGCCAGAGCCAGGGCCAGAACCCAGCCCTCTGACCCCTAGTCCCCTGCACTACTGAACAGCCTCTCACACTGTTAACAGGCCACACAGTCACTTCCCCACCATGGACACCCCAGACATCTGGAGAGACAGGCCCAGTGCAGAGAGACAGACACACACCCTGACAGCCTCAGGCACACACACATTCTGCCAAGCTGTCCCTACCATACACATGCAGTCACTGTATTCTCCTAAGCTGGCTTCCTTGAAGATTCTTACTGGGAAGCAGCCTCCAGGATTTTGGGCTGGAGTGAGACGGGAATGGGGCATTCGAGGCCAGCCTTACCTCCTGCTTCCAGCCTGGGACAGATACCAATGAACAGAACAGAAGTGTGTGTCAGGGGGTGGGGGGCCCAGAGAGATAGAGGTATTAGGGGCAGGTGAGGACAGATCATACCAACCTAAACTCTGGCCTGTCTTTAAGGCCCACCACACCCTCCACACAACCCAGAGAGCAAGGAAGGGGGTGAATAGGGCAAAGAGCTGGGAGAAGGCAGTGATCTGATGGGTGGGGGGCAATATCCCACTGGGCAGCTTTGCCAGGCTTTCCATCTGGAGATGAGAGAAGAAACACAGATGGTACATGGGCCAGCAGAGGGGCATGTGGAGGGGGCTGGGCCCCGCCCCTACTGCTCTGGGCCTTTCTCCCTCCTAGCTCCTTCCCTTGTTAGGCTGGGGCTGGGGGGGTTCATGGCTTCGCTGGGGTGGGGCCAAACCCCTGGCTTTGTGCTCCCTCCCCCTACTTGTTACTGTTGACCTCCTTGCAGTCTGGTCACCGCTTTTCCCCATCGGACTGCAGCTTTGGGGAGGGGGCAGGTTGCTGGGCGGGATCCCCCCAAGTAACTGAACAAACAGCCCCCTCCCCTCCTCAGCACCCCACCCCCCTCCCCGGGGTGGAGAGAGACCCGGTCTTGGTTTCTCCGGCTCCATGAACACACAGAGGTACACGTCCTACCATAGGAGGAAGCAATGACTGTTACGAGGTTGGCGACTCCAGGGGGCGCGGGGGCCAGGGGCAGGCAGACGAGCTGGGGAGGGGTTGGCCCCTGCCCGGTCCAACCTGGCCCCTGGCGGCCCCACCCCGGCGGCCGCAGCGGCCCCGCCCGCTACTGAATGTGGCAGGCGGTGGAGGACGTGGCCTGGCAGCACATGCAGGTGGGGTTCACGGACTTGGGGGGAATGAGGTCCAGGTCCTCGTCGTCAGGGATCTCGTCTAACCGGTAGCCGTCCTTCAGCAGCTGGATGTTCAAATCTTGGTTGATCTGCTGTAGACAAAGGGGGGTGGAGGTCAGGCTCAGAGCGATACGGAGGCACCACCCCCGACTGGGGTTACAACCCCAGGCCATCCGCACCCAGCTCTGTCCTATCCCAGGTCTCCCTGAAACCCAGGGCTTTGCACCGCCTTTGGCCTCAACCTCAGTTCTGGCCTCCTTCACAGGAACATCCTTGTGGAGCCGGGCCCTGCTACATACCCTATTCCATTCTAACTTCCCATCTCAGGCCCTGCCCTTATTTCAGGCCTACCCCCATAAACTGTTGCCCGTATTTCACACCCCATTCTATTTAAGTCTCTGTTCCAACCAAGTTTGAATCCAAGCCCTTCCCCTAACCCTGGGCTCCCAGCACTAGAGGGACAGAGTCCAAGGCCTCACCTTTCTTTCACACCAGATCTTATCCCAGGCCCCACCCCCGCCATGGGCTCCACCTAGCTTCGCCCATTGCTCCTCTCAGGATGTGATTTGGCATTGGTCCCACCCTTCTCCTAGATGGACGCGGTCTTGCTCAGGGGTGTCCAGGGCGGGAAGGGGTTGGGGCCTCACCTCAGCAGAGGAGTAGCCAGAGGAGGAATATCTGGACATGTCAAAGTCATCATCACTGGCCATGGAGGAAAGAAGACAGGAATTGATTCCCAGACATTAAAGGGAAAACTCCCTGTACTCACCGCCCCCATCAAACAATACCCCAGCCTTCCCCCATGCTTCCAAATAAACAGCAGGATCTAAATAAAAACTGTGCTTGCTGTGGAAATGCAGTTTAAGACAGGTTCCTTAGCCCCACCTTTCTAAATAAATTGCCACCCTTAACCTCCTTCTAATTCAAGTTGCTACTCTCCCACATCTCTCCCCGACTTTTTTTTCTAGGCTCAAATCACCCTGGTTGTTGGGTTTTCCCAAAGTCCAGGTCTAGCCAGGTGTGTTCCCAGCAGTAGGACTCCTCCCTCAGAGGGGGCAGGGCAGCCATTGGATCAGCTGTCCCAGGCCAGCAGCAGACTGCACAGCCCCCTTTTCCTCTCTCTGCTCTCCCCTGTCTCCAGGTAAAAAGTTCCATTCCCTGGGGAAATTTTTGGAGAGCTCCTGGCTGAGGAGCACCCCAATTCTGACAATATAGCAGAGGTGGTCTGTACAGCCCACTTGTATGTTCACACAGGTTCTTATGGCTTGCCTGGCTGCCCCAATGTCCCCGTGCGTACCTGTCCGTGTCAAGGGCTACCAGGGGCTTCTCGTCTGGGCTCTGGTCAAGCGAGGAGTAGCCTTTATTGGGGACGACCAGCCTGGGTGGAGAATTTTTGGAGATTGGATTGGCAGCTGGAGCATACAAGCCTGGCAAGGAACTGGGTTGGGCCCTGTCCCACCAATTCCCTCCCCTCTCCCACCCACTAACCCCCTCCCCCCACCACCTCGGATCCTGTGAGACTCTCTCCTGTCAGAGAGGAGCTGGGCCTGAGTAGGGAGGGAAGAAGGGAGCCTCAGAACCAGCAGAGATACGCTGGCAAGGCAAGGTCCAGGTCAGTTTCGGGGGCAGGGGGGCCTCTACCTTGTCCGGGCCATGACATTGTTCTTCTTGGGCTGCTGGTTGACGGGGCTGCCCATGCTGCCGTTCTTCAGCGAGCCCTTCCGGGCCAGCTCCCTCTGCTTCTCTGCAGGGGAACATGGGAAGGAAGCTGTGTCCTGCCCTCAGGGCCACCCTGCCTTACTGCCCAGGGCAGCCTGGGCTCGGCCTCCATGGTGAAACCTCTTGCTTCTCTAAGAACTGAGGTGGGAATCCAACTCCAGGCCCTGCTGCTCAGGAGAGACAGTACTTGGCCCTGCACAACCTGAGGCAGATAGTGAGGGGCCACAGGAGGAGGCTGACCCCTGTCTTCCAGGAGCTGTACTCCCAAGTGGGGCAGTTAGTGTGTGCCTGATGCCAGAGAAAGGTTGGAGGGGGAGAGATGGAGCAGAAGGATGGACCAGTCGGGGCTTCCTGCAGGTGACACCTTGAGCTGGAGAGAAGAGGGCAGTCTAGAAAGGAGGAATAGTATACACAAAAATGCATTTAGGAGTGAGTGTCATAAGTGTGGATCTGGATGGAATGGAGGGGTGAAGACGGAGGGAGGTCAGGTTGGAAAAGTAGAATACATTTATTCAGCCATTTGTTTTTTTTTTTGGCCAACATCTGTGTCACCAGTCATGTCTCAGGTCCTGTGTAAAGGGCTGGAGGCTCCCTCTGATTGCAGATTCAGAGTATGAGGGCCTTGAATGCCAGACAGGAGTTTGGGATTAATGCAGAAGTAAAAGAAACCACTGAAAGTTGTGGAGTGGGAGGGGCAGTACGGGGCTGGCAGGGTAAGGGGCAGGAGGCTGGGGGGCCCCTCTGGCTAGACTACTTCTGAATTCTTCAGAGCCTATGAATTTCATGGAGCTGGCCACGAGGTGACCCACTGCCTGGGTGGCACTGTTACCAGTAGCCAGGAAGCTGCCTGAGCCTTGGAGGAGGCCTGTCTCAAGTAAAGCCCAGATGTAGGAAAAATGAGTGCTAGGGGAAAGCTCTCATAAAACAATCATAAGCTCCAGAGAGAAAGGGTAAGATGAGCACTTCCAGCTATTGTGACTCTGGAATTTCCCCAACCTCCGTGTCTCTTTGTCTCTTATCTTTCAGTCTCTGATCCTCTTTCCTTGCCATGGCTCATCTGAAGCCCTGTGTCCTGACCCCTACCCTTTCCAGCAGGCAGCAGCTGCCATTACCACCCCAAGCCTCTAGGGGGTGCAGTTTGCCTTAAAGTTGCTGGTGGTGATTTTCCTTAGTGCAACTGGGACAAGGCTGCGAATTTTCAGTTTTGGTGGTAATGTAATGGACAGCGAAAAACAAGTGTTACTTTAAAAGAATGTTGAAATTGTTTCACATAATGAAAAAAATGCTAACAATAAACTGGTAAAAGAAAACTACGGACTACTATGCAACCATTTACAAGAATGAAGTCATTCTCTGTATACTGATACTGGAAGGGGTTCTAAGACATTAAGTGGAAAAAAACCCCCAAAATTTCAGAAAATGTGTACAGTATGATACCACTTATGTTAAAATACAAAATAAAACTAGAAAAAGCTTGAAATGATTATCTCTGGGGAGGAGAATGTGATGGGGGAGAGTAAAGGAGAAGTTATACTTGTTAAAATACTTGTGTTGTTAAACAGTAATAAGCAAATAAAACTGTCTGCAGTTTGAGTCTGGTGTCCTAGGAAGATGAACAAATTCCACTAAAAGCTCTCTTGTTTAGAAAAAACAGCCTGAGGGGCTCCCTGGATGTGGTCTGGAAGGAGAAAAGCAAGGTTAAAAAAAAAAAGTTGACTAACATAACAGGGCTCTGTGAAAAGGAGTCCTGGCAGCTGCAGAGGGAGAAGGTTTTAGAACAGATGGGAAAGGGCTCTTAGGAATAAGGAGGGGCCCAGTATTTGGTGGGCAGCTGGGGCCTGAGGAGAAAATGGGCAGGAGGGTGGCTGGGATGGCAGAGAAGTTGTGAAGGATAGTGATGGCTTATATTTAATTGTAAACTTTTTCCAGGATGCATACTGTGTTATAATTTCTCTTCATGAAACCAGTTTTTACAAATTAAAAGTCAGTGATACATGGCATACTTAGGTGAGTGCAATTTTGGTCCCTGAAGGGCGAGAGGGGCAGTGCTGGGCATAGGGTGACGTGGCTGCACGCAGTGCTTGGGAGCCATGTAACTTCAAAGGAGCAAACTGCAGCCTAAACTGTCTTTGGATTGCACATGAGATAGACCCCAAGGGAAAGGTGAGTCTAGAAAGGGGAGGAGATATTTGGGTTTATTAAGAAATTAAGGGAGAGCTCCCCCAAACAGGAGCTAACCAGGCCCTGAGATCTCCAGATGGGCCAATGTTTGAATGGGGAGAAGGACTCAGCTTCTAGGCTTTGGGAGCCTTGTTCCTTTCTATGCCTCAGACATAGCAACTGACACCCCACCTCTAAGGCAGCTTCCTCTTATCTGGGTTGATGTCTGATGGGACTTCCAACCCTCTCTGTGGGGTTCCATGCTTTTATCACTGTAGCTATCCTCCAGAATACCTGGAGCCTTCTTAGCCTCAGAGATGCCTCTAGAGTTTTGGGCTCCTGTAGAGAACTGCAATTTCTCTCTTTGCTTTGCTGGAGATAAGGTGCCTGGTAGTGCAATGACTGCGTGGCTGGAGTCTTGGAATCATTTAGCCTGAGTTGGTTTCTTGGTGGCACCTCATTGCAGACCCAGCCCAGAGCACCTTGTCTGTCAACTCCCCACATCTCCCTCATCCCCCAGACACACTCACCCAGCTTCACTTGGAGCGGGGATGGTTTGTAATTCATGGCTACTGACTCACCCTCCCGGGCGTCACAGTCTCCGTCTGAGATAGAGGCGGCGGCTGGGTCCTGGGAGGAGAAGGCAGAGAGATAGGGAGTTGTTAGGAAATGGACACCGGGGGCTTCTCTTACCTATTCTCTCTGGGTGTTTCTCCCTGGCAGCAGGCAGGGGATTCAGGGAGGGAAAGAGAGACTCGTCTTTTACAAGAGCCAAGGGTAGAAGCTGGGTAGAAGAGCCAAGGATCTTGGTCCCACTGATACCCACCTGGATGCCTGTCTTTTAAGTCCTCTGTGATCTGCCTTCCCCAGAAAGCCTACTGTGATTCCTTAAACCCACAGGGCTACCTTCTCCAACCTCCCATACTAGTTGCCCTGCTCCCTCAGAGCCTTTCCTGTGTACTTGTTTGGGAAGATCTTTCTAGGTTCCTGTGAGTTTAAGTCTGGATTAAGGTCAGAGTAGGTGCTCCCTGAGACAGGCCTTCTCCCTCTGTCTCCCCTAGCACTGGACGATCCCTTCCTAGGATCCAGAGAACTGACTGGCCAAACCAGGCTAGACTTCAAGGCTGTAGCCACTGTAGTTCTCAGGAGGACCTCTCCATTTCACAGATGAGTCCTGAAGAGTGTCTCCTGCGAGAACCTGAATGTTTGGCTGGGGGTGGCAGGTGAGAAGACAAATAATGACAAATCAGCTAGTGGCCAGCTAGTCCTGTGTTGCCCAGATAGCGCTTGACACTATAGATGACCAGGAAGGTAGGAAAGCATGCATCCTGTGCATTGTCCAGGGTCTGAACCGTTTCAGTCTCCCTCACTGCCGTCCTTACTGACTTCTTCCCATTGAGATCGACACTGTGCTGCCCAGAGTCTTACTCTAGCCTCACTGTTCCCTCCAAAACACCCCACACCTCTGCTACAAGATCCAGGGCTTTGGCCCACCCTGCCTCAGTCTGTTGGGAGGGGTTGGAGTCATTCACAGTCTCCCTGAGAAACCAATGACCAATCACTGATATGGATTCTGCCACCCTAGCTATCCGCGAGACCACAGGGTGGTGAGCCCAAGGTCAGGTTTGCAGACAGGATCCAGGGCTGTGCCTGTTCTGCCTCCGGGGATGTAGAGAGCAGACAGATAGGCAAGTAGAATGCTCCAGGACTGGCCCCACAGTGCCAGACCCAGGGATCTGAGTAGCTTCTGGTGACGCATCAAGGGAAGGATATATAGCCATTATGGTGGCTTCTCTTCCCTTTAGAATGAAGCAGCAGGGATGAAAACTTGCTTGTCACTAAGGGGAAAGGGGAAAATCTAGAATGTTTGGGAAGGAAATCCTGGCCTTGTCTATGTTCCTTCAGGCCATCCAGAGTGCCAGGGCCTGGGTGAGCTTTGTTGCCACAGTGGTTAGTGAGTTCCTGAGGGCAGAACCTGGGCCTCTGACCTCTGCTCTGATTCCCATCCTTAGCTGTGGTTGAGGGGGAAGAGGTGGGAGGGTAGAAAAGATGGGAGTTGCACTGCCTACATCCCAGGCAACTTCCCATGCCACAGACATTCCCAGTCCTTCATCCTCTACCTCCCTAGCTCAGATCCTCCTCGGGAGGCTGCTTACTGACAGCACCTGTCCCCTGCAGCCCCGGAGGAGGGGCCTCTAGTGGCCCTGACAAGCCTCTCTATGGCCAAAACAGCCTTGCAGGTGCTGCCTGCAGGGAACATGGAGACCTGACAGCTAGGCTCTGGCTTTCTCCTTAGGCAACATGGAGGGTTCATTCCCAAAGCAGCCTGAGGGAGGACTCTCAAAAGGTAAAACCCATAAACGTGCCTGTGGGGCCTTACCAGGGAAGCATAGGCAGATTTCCAATTTACTTTTTCTATAGCATTTGTCACATGTCACACATATCATCCATTTGGAAATGGTTTCCTCCTCTGGCTTTCAGGACACCGTGCTCCTTGGCTCATCTTGCCTCTTTGACCATCATCCCTCCTGCTCTCAACCTTCCTCTCTCTGCTTGGGGAAGCCTGATGTCTTCCATGGTTTGGATTAACATGTTTCTACTGGTAACTTCTAAATCTATGGCCTTCCAATTGTACATCTGTCTCCTCTGTAACCCTCCACCCCATTCATCCACAAGAGTGGTAAGTTTCACTGGCCTCTCCTTGGGGCTGACTTAAAAAACTTGAGCCCTCAGGCATTTGGGGCTAACTTTTCCTTCCTCAGTGCAGATGACTTCATCAGCATTTCTTCTCTTGGGCTGGAGGTACTGGATGGCAACAGTAACACTGAAAGGGGACTGTGCATGGAGGATGGGGCCTGGCTGGAGGCTGGGAAGCTGCTGAGTAACTCTGGTCACAGGGACCCTCATGTGGTCCTTGAGGCCACTGGCCAGGTCCTGGTGGCATCTGACCCCTGACTGAAAATGCCAGTCCCTTTGGGTCAAGAGCCAGGGCACAAAGCCCTAGACTGAGAGGGCCCATGCAAACCCATCATTCAGCGTCTTCCCTGTCACTGCCCATGACAGAAGGCCGTCCTAATGGCAGGAACAAAGATCTCTGGCACTGTGCCTGCAAACTCAAATCTTTACTGTGGGCTTCCTGTCTGTCCTGAGAAATGCAGCCAATGTACCATGACCATCACATGGAAATGTAATCAGGGAGATTAAATGTGAAATATTCATGAATATAAGTATTAGAGAGGAATCCAGGCAGAAGGAAGCATCTGGCTCTGAGAAATCAGGGAGAATTTAAAATGCCCCCCAAGGACATCTGACAAGAGTTAGCTGGATCCAGGAACTAGAGTGGCGATTAGCAAGATTATTAATAAACACTCAGCAGAGACAGACATTGAAATGCATCTCTAACTGAAACTCGTTTCTGCAATCCTTCACACAGATTCTCCAAAGACTGCAGAGATGATTAATAGTTCAGTCTCGCTGTTTCTGGGACAGAAAATATAGGCTAATGGCCAGTGCAAAGCCAATATAATTAGAGGAAGGCAAAAGTGCCAAAAGAATCCTTAGTCTGGTCCAGTGATTTTCATTAAACTGTGTTTCCTGAACCCTGTGCCTTGGGCAGGGCTGAGTATGAGAGGAGAGCAATCAGAGGGGGTCTGGCTTCTCTTCAACCAGAACAGGTCTATTCTTATTTCATTCACATATCAGCCTTTCTGCAGGAATCTGGTTGGAGAAGGAGTTCTATTGTTGAAAAAAGAAAAAGAGGGGGATTAAACAAATCCATTGATTAGTCCCATCTTTGAAAAATGCTTTATTATAGAAATTATCAAACTTACATGAAAGCAGAGAAAACAATATGGCGAGATCCTGGGTACCTATCACCAGGTTCAACAAATAGCAACAAATCATTCTTTTAAAAAATTCCAGCTCCTCCGTTTACTAGCTGTGTGGTCTAGGCTTCAGTTTCCTCATCTGTAAAATGGCATTAATATTAATATCTATGCCAAAGGTTCCTGTGAGGATAAAATAATAATATGTAATCTAGCACTTAGTATGTAAGCATTTAGGTAAGTAGCTTTTGGCAGGAAAGAGCTCTCTGCGGAGGCCCCTTTTGTCTTGTCACTAACCTTAAACCAGCACCCCCCAACCCCGTGCTCTCCTCATCTCTGGCCCAAGCACATCTTTTAAATTTTTTTTATCATAAAATACCTTCCCTGTTGGTTCTTCCCATAGATCAAAGAAGTAAACATGAAGAATAAGTAATTAACAGATGACTAGATCTCTTCCCTAGCTTCCCCCTCAGTAACCTTGCGAACAAACTGTGTGAACAAGATAGCATCTAAAGAAAGATCACAAGAAGTTGACAAGTCTGCATGCAGTGCGGACTGGCGATGACTCTGACCCTCCATCTCAATGATTAACTGAGATTATTTTCCTTTTTCCCTTTAAAACTTTCATGGCCAAGCAGAATCTTGGGAGTTGGTTGTTTTGGATACGTGAGTCCACCATCTCCCCAGATTGCCAGCATTCTGACTAAAAGCAATTTTCCTTTTTACCCACAATCACATTTTGGTATTGATTTTCAAGCAGTGAGTAGTTGGACCTGACTTTGGTAACACTTAGAACAGTATTTAGTATCCTGCATACTGAGCACTATATTTGTGCTAACTATAAAGTTGTTATTAGTATGGGGTCCCTGGGGCCCACCAATCATGAGCAGTATGTCCTGGCAGTGGATGGTCCACAGCTTAGCCCTGGAACCACATAGGTTGGGGCCTGGCTTATGTGGGGAGGTGTCTGTGGAAAAGATGCTCCCACCACAGGGTGAGGAGGGGCCTGACAAGGGGCATTCTATCTCCTCTCTCTCCTCACTTATTTAACAATAGTAGGCCTGGGGTTTACACAGATAAATAGAAATAGGCTCATCCTTAAGGAGCCCCCAGTAATTATCAATAAATGTAACAAGAGCCATAGAAAAATAGAGGGAAAGGGACAAAGGGATGTTGGTCAGAGAAAACTTCACCAAGGAAGACGTTTGAAAAGATCTCAAAATATCAGTTCATCAGTTAGATTGAGAGGAAGGAGGAAGTACATTCAGAGAACATCTGTAAAGGCTCAGAAGCATGAAACTAGCATTGCATATTCAAGGAACAGTATTTTTCTGTAATTGAAATCTAGAAGGTATGATAAAAAGTGGCAGGAGATAAAGTTGTGGGGTCAGGAGGGCTCAGATTATGGTGGAAGGTGAGCCTTGATTTTGTTCTTTACTCAAGAAAATGGAGAGGGAGCCAGTGAAGCCTTGAGCAGGAGAGTAACATGATCAGATTTGAGGTGGAGAAGGACCCTCTGATAGCCATGTAGATGATGGCTGGGATGGGAATGAGACTAGAGGTAAGGAAACTACTGCAACAGTGCTAGCAAAAGATGACAGGGAGCTGAACTAAGCAGAAGCAGAAATAAAAGGCCAGAAAGGAGGATGCTAAAGAAGGTAAACAGATGATTTTAGAGATAAAATTTAGGAGTCCAGACAGTCCTAATTTTCTCTCTGGAGTAATTGGGGAAGGGGTACTAATTATTAAAACAGACAATGCAGGAGAAGGCATAACTACACAGCCAGGGAAAACTAGATGAGCTCA